TATTCAGCTATTCAGCTTAGCTGCAGATATAGCCTGGCACGTCTTAAGTTCTATGAGCACGAGATCACTTCTCTTTCAGCTTTTTTCATGCAACGAACTCTACTTTCATGCATCTGATTATCAGATAAACCTTGCGCTCTTATTTCAAGGTCGTTGTTAAAGCTGTGGTTATTTTAACGGTTTCCTTCGTACATTCGGTTGAACGACATTGTTAAAACACATTTCTCATTCAATGGAACTGTGCGTATGCTTTAGACACTTACATTTTTTGCTCCGTCCATGCAATAAATGCAGCCTTCTACTGCTCAGGTAATGTCGTCGGTATGACCGAGAGCCATTGAAAAACGACTTCACTTTAGCATTACTGGCCACGAGTACTAAGGAGAGATCACACATCTGCTGCTCAAAAAATGTGTCAGTGAGACGAACGGAGCGCGAGCGCAATCCTGTGTGACAGTCCCTGCAGGCGGGAAATAGTGGAGCGCGTGAAGGAGAGATGCGAGGGCACGAACACTGTTCAAGGTCTCCATTCATTCGTGCTTGTAGTAATTTAATGTGTATATATTTTGAAAGCATTGAATCGCTATAGAAATCGCGATTCATTCGATTCTTAGCGCTTTAAATCGAATACTGTCCGAAATCGGCGATTCACGATTCAAAAATCCATGGTTCAAGATCGATGCATTGCATAGTCAGGGTTTGTAATCGATGCATCGAGAAAACAAGTGAATCGTTACAGCCCTAGTCCATACAATGATGTTCTTTAAAATATCTTCTTTTGCAGAAGAGTTTAGAATCACATTAGGGCAAGTAAATGATGTCAGTGTTTGTTTGTTTTTATCTCGGGTGAACGAATAAATGTACTACAACAGAAACTGAAAATACAGTAAAATGATTGTTCTTTACTAAACACATATAATCAGTCTCTCCGAGTAGTATTCACAGCACACACACACACACACACCAGACTCTTTTCCCCAGGAAAAGGTGAACTCTTGCTCTGTATCTGTTGCACAGGTAACATATGCCCACAACAAAAGCAGGCCAACCATCTGCTGCTAGAGACCACTGTGGGACGATACCCCTCAAGCCACCTAATTAATCTACCCCTGTCCACATTGGCCATAACCGCCTATAGCACACAATGTAGAGGCTCTCCGTATCATTCTTGTGGAACCCTATATGTCCTACTTGGATTGAACTCTACACATAAACATTTGTTACTGTGCTGATGAAGTTATGGGACGTTTACCTCCAGTAATGCCCACATCTCCGCCTCCCCTGAGCCAGAATGGTTTAGTTAATTTCAGTACACTTTGATAGTTCAGAACATTTCCTAAATGGAAATTTGTCTCGACTTATGGTGCAAACATACACCATGACCAGTCAGTTCCATTCCACAATAAATACACAATGACTTTTCCAATCAGTACACAGACATTAGCAATCAGCACAAACATCACACAAAAGTATGGATGCTTATGTTCAGATAAAAAATGTAATTCTGAAAAAGAAAGTGCGAATTGTAAAAAACTCAATTGTGAGGGGAAAAAAAGTCAGAACTGCGAGTTTAAAGGAATGGTTCACCCAAAAAAGAAAAAAATTGTCATTTATTCACTCTGTCATGTCATTCCAAACCTGTATAAGTTTCTTTCTTATGGTGAACACAAAAGAAGATATTTGGAAGAATTTTGAAGAACCAAACAGTTGTTGGTCCCCATTGACTTCCATAGTAGGGAAAGAAATACTATGGAAGTCAATAGGGAACAGAAACTCTTTGATTACCAGCATTCTTCAAAATATCTTCTTTTATGTTCAACGTAAGACGGAAACTCACATATATTTGGAACAACATGAGAGTGAGTAAATGATGACAAAATTTGAATTTTTGGGTGAACTATCCCTTTAATAGTCACAATTACCTTTTTATATTTGTATTTCATTGGGGGAAATAAGCTTCCATGCATACGTTATAAAATAAATAGTAAAAATAAGAAATTTGACAGGAGCAGCACCCTCACTGATATAGCAGATGCACGTACGTTATTGCAGTAGAACGCATAGAACACTCCTGGAATGTAACAGCCTATGATTCCTATGGAGATCCCAGCATAATCCAGTGCCATCCAGCGGTGGCTGTTTTTTTCAGAACGGTGGCAGCAAAACAGGTGATAGCCCACAGAACACAGCATGCACACCTGAGAAGACAACGTAAAGTGTTGAGACACAGACGCGTGTGTATGCAGCTTACATATGCAAAGTTTTCACAATACAATAAAAAAAAAAGCTGAAAGTCATATGATGAACCTATGCAGCCAAATAAAGATGCTATAATTATGTCTTTATGAGGGAATATGCAAGGGTGGTGGTAGAGGCACTTTGCCTAATCTTGATACTTGAGAGAATGGCTGCCAAGGAGAGAAGCTGCCATTTCTGTCTATAACCGATGGCATGAGAGCAACTGATAACAGATCTAGAATTAGACAGGCCTGAGTTAAGGTGATAAAATCATAAGTTTTAACTCTAATCCCTGGCAACAGTGAATGTGGAAAGCCTGATATCAAAGGCCTTCAACAGTCCAAGGATGATACAAATACTTTTTGCTGATCAAAGTTTTTATTAAAAAGGATGGAGCTGATCCAAACAAGCAATCATGGTTAGAGATTATTTGTTTGTCATGCCAAAAAACAAAACAAAACACAAACTCTTTATATTAGGGATGTAACGATTACCGGTTTCATGATAAATCACGATAAAATACCCCACGGTTAGTATTACCGTTTCATATTTTAATTATCACTATAACCGTATTCGATTACCGCGATTTGAACAACTGAGGATAAACAAATACTGTCCAGCACAGTTTTCCAGTGTGCGACCAAATGGTCGCATTTTGCGGAAAAAAATTTCTGCCGATGCGAATAAATTTTGTGAGCGGTCGCACTGGCGCGACCACCGCGTTGTTTAACTCATAAGCGCTGCCATTTCTGTTGCATATGTGAAACATCAAACGGCTAACGAAACAAAGCATAACGAAACCACGCTACTTGTTTGAACTGCGTAGCGCTTCGAGTGTAGAGCCTGGTTTATACTCGTCGCGTCAGCACAAACCTGCAGCAAAAATTACGCGATTATTGAGGAAACAATAGATGGTTTTCATGCTGAAGTAAAGTAAAAGATTGCTTCTTAAACCAAAGGTGAATATGTTGGTATTCTAGTGGGAAAAAAGAAAAACATGCAAGCACTGTCACCGACAGCAAGTTTAGTTTTACTTTTCTTTTTGTTTTCATTTTGAAAAGCTTGTTATCTTTACTGTTTACCTCAAGTTACACTATGGAGGCTCTCTTTTTTATTTATTTGATTCCTCATTGTTTGCTAAACATTCTGTAATTTATTAGTCGCATGTGGTGTATGCCATACCTCATCTTATTCATTTTTGTTAAAAAACGTTTTGTAAGCTAGTTTGTCCTTGTATCTTACTGTTTTATTGTTGTTGTGCTTTTAATTAAGAATAACAATGAATCCATCTTTTGTTTTAGTCTGAGAAAGGTGTATAGATGTAAGCAAAACAGGCAATTATAATTTCTTGTAAAACGTGACAACAAGATCGCAAATTCAAAAGTGAAAGCACCTGAAGCCCAGCTAATAACATAGCAAAAGAGGAACTCCCGTTCACAAAATTTAAATCACAAATAACACTGATGAAAAAGAACGGGTTGAATGTTAGCCACTTTCGTTTTCATATAATTATAAACTATGATAAAAGTTCATCAGCATGCATTGATTAATCCCCCCCAAAAAAAAAATTGTGACCAAATCATGTGCTCGTGTGACCAACTGAGAAAGTTAGTCACAAAAGAGCGACCAGTGGGAAGAATGAGTCTGGAGCCCTGCAGCACAAAACAGTTTTAAGTAACAGTCTCGCGTGCGCACAGCAGCAGAGTGATTTAGTTTTGTGTGAAAACATGGAGGAAAAGCTGGGAGGTTTTAAAGAGTGCTAAGGGAATTATACAAATGAATATATGGATGAATTAATTATATGAATGTACCTCTGAAGATTCTGACTGTCTTCAGAAAAGATTTGATGGCATTTTGTTTTCGTCTTCGCTCCATGTAATATCTAATAAAGTATTGTTTTAATCGCAATGCTGTTTTGTCCTCAGAGGTTACGGGAAACGGCTCTAATTCTACTGTTCCAAAAGCGCCACCTAGTTTCAGAGAGTAGATTTATGGAGAGTTGCATTTACATTCAGCCTGGGGTGCAGTTTTCATCTGGGCCAAAAAATGGACTGAATGTGCATGCCCTGCTGTAAATTTTGACCGGTTGATGAAAAACAAGCTTATGTGGATTCTACACATTTAAACAATTCAGATACGGCATCTAGAATTATTTATGGAGCAGATAAAATACATCTAATTTATTAATCAATTATCATTTTGACTTGACCCTTTTCTTTATTTAAAAGCTGAAATGTGAGGTTTACCATTTATGAAACTTTTTCAAAGCTTTATTTCAACATTTACATGAGATATTTGAACATGCTATTTGATAAACTGTTGTAAGTCATGTTGTCATATAAAATCCGGACATCATTGCCAATGTTATTGTTTTAGTGATTATGCAAACAACAACTCACTTTATTTGTTGTTTGGTGATTTTGTTTTTATTGTGTGTCAGTTCTTTTTGAACATTTCCAGCACATTTTAACAATACCATGATAATACTGATAACTGTGATCATTTTGGTCACTATAATCGTGATATGAAATTTTCATACGGTTACATCCCTACTTTATATTCACTGCTAACTACTGTGTTAACTATTCAAGTTTAAATGGGGGCTATTAAATGCATTTCTGAACTGCTTAAATTTCTCCTCATTTCCAAGTAATTTGAGGGCATGATGCAAGCAGCAAACACACACCTGGAAGCAGAAGAGGCCTATGGAGTATATGACATAGTCCTCTCTGGACGCTCCTAACATAGGCAGCACTGCCAACAAGTCATAAACTCCCAGCATGAAGAACAGGAAGAACCCCAACAGATGACTCCAGATGTTAACCGTCTCATTGGACAGAATGAAAAGGCTACAAAACAGGTGAGATTATATTATATTACATTAATTATACTAAAATATCTGTAAACTATGCATTGAAGGTGGTTACAAGTAAGACCTGCACTTACCTTTTAATGCACAGTCTAGAGGTCAGGTAGGCTCTGTAGCCATCAGTGATATAAGGATTTTCCCGTAGGAATCCCGGCACCTGCTCATAAGTGTACAGGCGGATTCCTCTGGGCACCAGAACTGGCCAATACTGGTAACTGCCCAATTCAATGTATTGGGCATTCTTCAGCAGCTTCGCTGATGGCATGATGATATTATCACCCAGTCTCACACTCGGAGTCCTACAGACACACAAAGTTTAATGGATAAACGCTTTTATAAGCATATAATATCTAACAAAAAGTGACATGGATGTGAAATTTTATAAAATATCATAGTTTTAGCTGACCTCCTTCTGTTGGGACATAAAAGTAATGTTTTATTTTGAAGTACTGAGCTATATAATCTGAGGGCAGTTTTTAAAAAAAAATAATTATAAATAATATTATATAAGTGTTGTTATTGTTAACTAAAATTATTAAAAATAGTTTTTCATTAATTAAAATAATTTAAATTTCATTAATTTAACATAACTAAAATAACTAAAATATAATATTAGATAAAATAGATAAATTATACACACACAAGTATAAGAAAAAATGTAAAAGAAAAATAGAACCTTAGTCAAAATATTAATTACTATAATATTATATTAATAATTACTATAATAACATAAATAACACAAAATAATATACAAATTACTAAAAAATTATAGATAATGTAAAAAGTAAATGGAATGTTTATAATATCTAACACTACTGGGAAGTATCCATTATCTAGAAAGAGGCTGGTTGCTGCCACTTTTATGTCTATACTTGACTATGGTGATGTTTTATACATGCATGCTTCGTCTCAAAGTTTACATGCACTGGATACTGTATACCATGGAGCTCTGAGGTTCATCACTGGTTTTAAAGTCCTCACTCACCATTGTGAACTGTATAAACGTGTTGGATGGCCTTCTCTATCAATGCGGAGACTTCAACATTGGTATATCTTCATATACAAAGCTATTTTAGGTCTACTTCCATCCTACCTTCTGACCTACATCAGTGTAAATAACACTGGGACTAGGTTAGAACCGAGCTGGCAAAAAAGGCTTTTAGGTATGCTGCTCCCTCTTCATGGAACAAATTACAGAAATCCATGAAAATTAATACGCTGGTCTCATTGGTAGCTTTTAAGAAGATGTTAACTGACTTGGAGGCAGTCACGTCTGGCTGTAGATGTTCTGACTGATGTGTTATTGATTGTGGTTTATTTTAAAGGATTCGCTATTTCAGTTGTTTTATGTTATTATATTTTGTACCTGTATGTATGTATGTATGTATGTATGTATGTATGGTTGTACTGCTGCCTACCTTGGCCAGGACACTCTTGAAAAAGAGATTTTTAATCTCAATGAGTTTTTTTTCCTGGTTAAATAAAGGTGAAAAAAAAAAGTAAATGTGGGGTACGTTTTGCCCCGTCTCAAGAAGGGTAACGTTACTGCTTGTGTTCATTGCTTAACTGTTAACGTTAAATCGTTTCAAAAACAAAGTACTAGGGCAGTATAACACAAATGCAAATTTCACACCTTCTTTAGAACGAAATATGTTAATAATATGAAACGAAGCTTTAGGGTGGGCTAAAGAAACAGACGTCCCATTCACTGTCCAACAAGTTGTCAAAGCTTATGGTAAAATACATACAGATGCACACAACGTATAAACCTGCTGATTATATAAAATGATTCATTTAAATTAATGCAATACACTAACTGGCCAAATATTTACCTTAATCGCCAAATTAGCCATCACTGCTGTATCTAAAATGGATAAGCAGCTAAATGCTAATCACGTCAATCCATTGGTTTTATTTCAGAAACGGATGAAAGTTTTCGCCTAATCCTGAATTTAAACTTACCATTGATCAGATAAATGTCTGCATCGAAGAATCCGCGTTTGTGTCGGTGAGGCTCATAAGTAATATTAGTATCCCATTTTCGGACTCATACTAGCCCGGTGAGGGCAGCAGGAAGTTGTGTTGTGTTACTAACGTTAGCCGCTAACAGGCTAATAGAGAGATTATTTCATGTCACATGTAACCTGAGGCATTAATCCCTCTGTTTTTTATCCGGTGATTACTTTATCAGTCCTCTTAAATTCTATATAAATATAAAACATTTAATAATAATTAACATTTCAGGAAAACGTTTTAATGATTCACGTTTGACCTTAAAATACAACCTAAAAGAGTTTATTTGTCACCCGTTCACACTCGTTCTCAATTTTTTTCCTCCGAAATTATTTCTTCGTTCTGAATGTTTAATCACAGTAAGTGTTTATCCACTGGAAAAGTGTTACCAGGCAGCCACAATAGCACCCAGTTTTCATAGCATTCATTTCATCGACTGAATTGAGACCTGTAGGTGGCAGACTGCTGTCATCACGTTTAGAAGAAGACCTTCTCTTTTCATAAACATCTCAGGTGTAATCTTATGTGATACTCCTCTGGGGCTAGAATCACACTTAATCTTCCCTCAGCTATTACACCCAAGATAATTACCTTCTCAAGTGGGAGTGTGTTCTTCATTAGCACTCCTAATTCACCTTTCAGCACTTCACTCTTCAACAGGCTGTCAACAGCACTGCCAAGGCAATTTGCCTGACTGCAGCAAACCCAGCAAGACAGCGCAAGAGTGCCATCACATTTCTTGTTCAGGTGTTTTTTTTAAATAAAATATTTGTATTAAATTATAACTAGTTTTTTGTTTGTTCCTCAACCCATTTGATATGATGAGCAATCTTTTAATACAGACATGCAGTAACTCATATAACTGACTTAGGCCTACTACCTGTCATTGAGAAGACACCAAAACTCCACACACAGCTGGACCTTCTCTGACCTCTTTACACTCATTCGTTTTTCCATTTCAATTCGCTCTCTCAACCTCATGTTTCTTGTAGCAAGCCAACCGCCACACACGGTTCTCCACTGGTGCCCATGATATGGCCCCCAACCAAGAGCAGGCATCAAGTCCAATAACAAGGACACAGTCATTGTTAGAAGAGGTTGGCCAAGTGTCTTGCTGAGAAACTATCCAGCGAGTAAAAGACATTGCCACCCTGACAGCGGCCTCGCTAAGGCCCGTCAGTGCTCCCCTGCTCTGGTCGCTTTTATTTATAATCTCCGCCATGAGACATCTGCTGCCGCCGTGCCTCTGTCCTTGCCGTCCACACAGAGGGTGCACATCAATGTTTCCACCACAACCTGGAACGAAGTCCAGCTCGCAGGCAGGAGACACCACACTTTGCTCCAATAGGATGTGTGTCGTGTCCGATCCCACTCCCTGGAGACTGATTAGCACGATACGGGGGACGGAGGGAGGCTTCACGAGCACTCAGACTGATACTTACATGATCAGAGTGCCTTTGTTTGTTTGGTGTCTGTAGTCTGGTCACAAGACTATTTTGGGGAGCTGACACTTTGAGAGAGCTCTGGAGTCATCTGACGAGGCCTAGTTTGCCGCCAGTTCCTGAACAGTGGGAAGTCAAGCAGGCCACTGCACTGGCCTTGATGCAAAATGGCACAGGCAGTTTTGTGTTTTTTAAGCAAAAAGAAGACCACATGCGGCTTCAAATGCCACCAGTTTTCCTCAGAAGAATAGGTAGACTAAATAATATATTTTTTACTTCAGATTACCAAAAAGAGGTCCTTATTTCAGATTATGTAAAAAAAAAAAAAAAATCTTAAGTATATAATATGTATAAATTACTGATATTACATTGCTACATAGAAGGAGCAATATTTCCCATTTAAAATTTACTCGCAGTAACCCAGTGTAATCAGTTATATTAAAAAAATTTTACTTTATTGTTTAATATGTACTATTTTGTTCACCATTTTTTTCTGCTTAAGAGAAGTTCAAATGAGGCAATGATTGGAGATTTCAGCTTAGGGAAAGTTCCATCTGCATAACAATATTGGGAGGAATTGAGCTTTAATATAAAGGCATCCTCTTTTTTCACTTACAATTATCTCTTCAATAAGATGTACATCTGGCCCCAAGACTATAATTCTCCAGAGGCCAAAAGAAAGGGAAAACAATTTCCACAATAAGCAAGAGATTAGATCAGACAATGCAATTGTTCTTCTGCATTTAGCATTTGCTGGAATAAGATTAATATCCTGTGATATTAATGACTGTTTGCTGTGTGTCACTTTTGCTGTCAGTATGAAATACTCCAAATCCTCATGGGGAAAAGTCTGGCTAAAGGACTAGAGCAGACATGCTAAGCTTTTTGGCACGGGCCCTTATTATTATTTAACCCCTCTATAGTAACAAATACGCACTTTGTTATAAAACTGATTATTATTACACATTGTCCCTACAAATTTTTTCATGTAAAATGTATAGAATATTCTGAAATTCAAAGAGCTGTTGAGGGGGAATTTGTTCACTATAAAGTTATCTTGTGTGTGTGTGTGTGTTTTGCATTATTATACCATTAGAATTGTAATTTGATAGTCACATGGACCAGGGAGGGTGAAAGAAAAAAAAAAAACCCATCACATTCAACAATATGATCACCAATAATATTTTTAATAATTTTCACTAAAATTGCTTGACAAATGCTGAATTTATTTGTATAATATATAATGTCCGTTTTTGCTACTGAAAATACTATACTACTATAATACTACTATAATTCAGAGAAAAAGTAAAATCTCAAGTGAATTTCTTTTTCCTCCTGTAGATGTCACTCTGTATCTATTTTCTCTCACAAAATACTTTAAAACAGTAATTCGTCCATTAATTTGCTTCAGTGTTCTATAGGTACATTTTGTATTTATAAAATAAATTCATAGAGAATTAATGCAGTTAACCCGAGATAGTAGGTCGATTCGTTAAATGCTAATACAGCGAAATTGATTTTTGACATTGATAATTTAACACCTTTAAATGTAATGATTTTGTTTGACACCAGTTAGACACAGTTCTGTGAATAAAAGAAACGTAAAACAGCAAACTTTAAAAAAAAAAAAAAATTTTTTTAAAGTGCCCCGATAGAAATGATCAGTCTCTTGTACTGTCCTGATTGTAGTGATGATTTTGGCAGTAGATCTAAAAACGTCCACTAGATGGTACTGTGGTCACTCATTTCATTTCTATCTACCATCACCGCTCATCTCGGCTATTTAAAATGGCCTAAAATACTTCCTTTACTTTTTAAAAGAATGTTTCATACAGTCAAAATCCTGTGGAAACATTATCAAACAGCATGGGGAATCCGAAACTCAATGTATTAATTAGTTTGTAAATGAGATGTGAATTAAAACCAGCTCAGACGAGCTCAATGCAATGAATGAGTCAATTGTCAAACACATTTGCTGGCATTTAATACTTCTGAATAGAAATACACGTTTCTTATTTGAGAGCTTTGACCCTTATCACAGTAATGAATTTTGTCATTCTGGCCTCCAACACCACGAATGAATGATTGTTTTTTATTTTAGGGGTCAGTTCATCGTACAGATTAGCATTAGCCGGACACCGGCAATCCCACAGTAATGGATTTCTCACATCACGGGGCATGATGGTTCTTTTTTCAATTGTGGAAGATAACTCCATCTAGCACAGATGCCAATGAAAATGACAGCCTTCTCCTGAGCGAACGAATTGCGCGGATGTTTTTGATGCATCCTTGGAAGTCGACGGCCGTTGGTGCCACGATTGTGGTAGATTGTCTAGGACCTGCTGCTTTTCCCTGATATGAAGGGGAGAGCAAGAGACAGTACGGTGGAGGGGAGGGAGGGCCGTCTGCCCGCCACAGGACTACCCCACGCCCAGGCTTGTTTGGAGGATTGGCACTAATTCAGCAGCGCCAGCGTCTGACCTCAGCGGCAGCGGCGCTCCGAGCTCCGTGAAGACCCAAGGCGATGCGAGGGATTCACCTCAGCCGGGAAGGGGAGGGATGGCTGGGTAGGTGGGGGTGTCTCAAGGTCAGTTAGGGGGGTCTGGGAATTGGGGTGGAAGGAGAGACTAATGAGATTTTCATTCTCTCTTTCTCTCCGGCGCTGGTGGCATCACCTTGCAACCCCCTGTCAATCTACCACCTTTCATCAGCTGAGAAGGACAGAGGGGTGTAGGCGGAAAAAAGCGGAGGAAAAATACTGTTTATTTCTTTAACAGGACTGTTAATCTATTTGGACTGGGGTAATAGAACATTTGCCTGGCACCTGCAGAGAGCCGTCAGCGAGAACGCGGGGTTGTGACATTCCCCCTAAATATGCTGAGCTTTCTCTCACCTCTCATCAAACAGTGTGATCTTTATGGACTGTATCATATTGTGCCGTAATGTGCTTTATTGTCCACAGAATAAGCTTTTCTTAAAGGTAATTGGAAACCTGGAAATGGCTGCTATCGGCTGATTTTTAAATACATTATTTCTGAAATGTGGCCTGGGTAATGACCCTGTCGGTGTAAAACGTAAGATTTATCTTGGCAGACAAAATTGATCCATTTCACCTTTGTCTAATGGAAATTTTTTATCAGGGATTATCTGTTTATGTAAATGAGCGTTGCCCTGGAACAGGGAAATAAAAGGAGCTTGAGAGGGCAGTTAATCTAACACTTGACACGTCAATGTGGACATAACGCATACAGAGCACTCTCTCTCTCTCTCTCTCTCTCTCTCTCTCTCTGTTAGGGTTGAAATGATGGGAGGGCGTCTGTCCCAGACCTCAACAGATATTTGAATTGGGACCTTCATTACCCTTTCTCTCACCTCTCATCAAACAGTGTGATCTTTATGGACTGTATCATATTGTGCCGTAATGTGCTTTATTGTCCACAGAATAAGCTTTTCTTAAAGGTAATTGGAAACCTGGAAATGGCTGCTATCGGCTGATTTTTAAATACATTATTTCTGAAATGTGGCCTGGGTAATGACCCTGTCGGTGTAAAACGTAAGATTTATCTTGGCAGACAAAATTGATCCATTTCACCTTTGTCTAATGGAAATTTTTTATCAGGGATTATCTGTTTATGTAAATG